ATTGAGATATTATTTTTTGTTAACCCTTATATTATGGCTTATGTAATAGTTTTAGGACTAGACTCTGATATGAATATTGATGGTTGAGATTGAGATCCCTGCTTGTCCTTCTTTTATTCTTCTTGGTGCTAGATCAATTTTGGTGTCATAGCCAAAATTGTGATCCATTGTTTTTGTTTGATCGGCATAGTTGCCTTCTTGATACAGCCTCATTGGTTTGAACCATCATCGTCCATCTATGAAGCATGTGCACATGTTGGTATGAGTATTGGTACGATACAAATACGTTAATACAATAAAAGTAAAAAAAGTAGGATACGGGTATAGCTTGGTACGTTCGTAAAAAATATTTATTTTGAATTTGGAGTAATGCAAAAATTAGTTAAATGGTTTAGTTCGTTAAGATTCCAACTTACAATTCACATTTGATGCCAAAAGTAAGGTATAAATTAAATTAAATGTCTATATTAAATAAAAGCTTAATTTTAAAATCATGATAAGTAGGAGTGTTCACGGATTGGTTCTGTGTGGTTCAGATGACGGGTTAGACCCACCCAATAGGGTGTGGGTTGGGAAAAAATGGAACCGCATTTGCCTGCAGTGCGGGTTGCAGATCGAACGGGTGGGTCATGCAGTTGTGCATGCGGTTTGTGAATTAGACTCTTTTTTTTTTGAAATTTTATTTTTGGGCTTTGGCGTTGGGGCCTTCCCCACTTTCTGAAGCCATAAAAAAACAAACATAAATAATTTTTTTTTGCACTTTGAATATGTATATAACAAATAAAGACAAAAGAAAAAAGACAAACAAATTTTTTTTTTATTATTATTCAACCTAGCTTTATCACATACAATAATGAAAAGAATTTCTTTTATTAAATAAACAAAGCAAAAAGTTACAAACAGAACCAGCAAAACAAACCATAAATAAATAAAGGAGGATTCTAGATCTGGGTACCTTCGTGCAATGAAACTTTCTTTTTTCTTTGGTTTTGTTTGCAGTAGATCTTCCAGATCTAGTATCTCTAGATCTGGTTTGCGATTGGGCGACGATAACAGGGAGAAGATGAGGGGACAACGGCAAGCAACCAACAACGTGGTTGGGTTGATGTGCGAGAGGTGATGGAACGGCGATCGAGTAGGGGTTGATCTGCGAGAGACGACGGCGACGGTAGAGGAGAGGAGAGGAGAGAGATGGCGACGGAGAGGTGAAGAAAGAGATGGCGAGCAAGGGGCGAGAGATGGTAGTGGTGGTGGTGACGACGATGGGGAGGAGAGAGAAAGAGAGACAGAGAAGGCCCCAATGAGAGAGAGAGAAATAGCTGTGTAGAGAGAGAAAGAACAACCAAAAAATGAATTCAACATGTGCGAGTGAGATTTTTTTTTTTATTTCAAACATAATCTGCGGGCAGTTTGCAGATTTGGTAGGGTCAGATTTGATCTGAACCTAATTTTGTATGGAAAAATAGACCCGCATCTGCCCTATTTATGCATGCGGGTAGGGTTGGATTTGTGCAGGTAAGGTTGGTTTGGGCGAGTTGCCCACCCCTAATGATAAGTATAAAAAACGAAAGTTCAATGAAACTAGCTTCAACTCTGTATAGAAGAAAATACCATTCTAATTGAGATATAGCTTGGGTATATATTAGATACTGCTGGGGTACGACAAAAAGTAAAAAGAAAAAATATAGGGCATTTCCCTAAATAAGCTAAAATAGTAAATCAATTCCCAAACTAAGCCTAGTTTTCAAAGAATTCCCAAAATAAGCTAACTCGCGGTTCACAATCGCGATTTCAACATATTCCGCCTGTTTCGCGTGAAAGTTGGGAAATCTTAAATTCGTGGTTACGAAAAGCGATTTTGATTAAGAAATCGCGGTTACAAAACGCGATTTTAATTATTATTATTTTTTTTCTTTTGAACTCACTGTTACAAACCACGATTTAATCCAAAAAAAAATTTGTTCTGAATTCGCTATTTGTAACCACACTTTTAGAAATTTTTTTTTTTGTGAACTCGTGGTTTGTAACCACGAGTTTAGAACTGCTACTCAACACATCACTCACACTCTACACATCACTCACACTCAATATATATATATATATAAATTTTATTTCATAAAATTGAAACTAATATAAAATAATTATTTTTTTATTTTAATTCTTAATTTTTTTTTTTAATTTTACTGTTCAGGGATAAAATTTATTTTTTTTTGATTTTTGGGTTTAAGGTTTAATTCTTAAAATTTATTTATTTTTATTTTAGGGTTTAGGATTTATAAAAAAAATAAATTTTAAGAATTAAATTCTAAATTCTAAACCCTAAAATATATATCAATTAAAAATAAAAAAATAAATTAACAATAACATATTATTTAAAAAATATAATAAATAAATAAAATAATTAATGTGTATTATAAAAAATATTTATAAAAAAAACTTCTAATGTGTATTAAAATATATATATATATATATATTACCGCTCCCCAAGACGCTCCCAACCTAAGAAACTTCTATCGGCTCACGATTCCCCGCTCCTGCTCCCGCCCCTGCTCCCGCTTCGTGCAACTAAGATTTGGGATTGAGATATTATTTTTTGTTAACCCTTATATTATGGCTTATGTAATAGTTTTAGGACTAGACTCTGATAAGAATATTGATGATTGAGATTGCGATCCCTGCTTGTCCTTCTTCTATTCTTCTTGGTGCTAGATCAATTTTGGTGTCATAGCCAAAATTGTGATCCATTGTTTTTGTTTGATCGGCACAGTTGCCTTTTTGATACAGCCTCATTGGTTTGAACCATCATCGTCCATCTATGAAGCATGTGCACATGTTGGTATGAGTACTGGTACGATACAAATACGTTAATATAGTAAAAATCAAAAAAGTAGGATACGGGTATAGCTTGGTACGTTCGTAAACAATATTTATTTTGAATTTGGAGTAATGCAAAAATTAGTTAAATGGCTTAGTTCGTTAAGCTTCCAACTTACAATTCACATTTGATGCCAAAAGTAAGGTATAAATTAAATTAAATGTCTATATTAAATAAAAGTTTAATTTTAAAATCATGATAAGTAGGAGTGTTCACGGATTGATTCTGTGTGGTTCGGATGACGGGTTGGACCCACCTGATAGGTGGTTGGGAAAAAATGGAACCGCGTTTGCCTACAGTGCGGGTTGCAGATCGAACGGGTGGGTCATGCAGTTGTGCATGCGGTTTGTGAATTAGACTCTTTTTTTTTGAAATTTTATTTTTGGGCTTTGGCGTTGGGTCCTTCCCCACTTTCTGAAGCCATAAAAAAACAAACATAAATAATTTTTTTTTGCACTTTGAATATGTATATAACAAATAAAGACAAAAAAAAAAGACAAACAAATTTTTTTATATTATTATTCAACCTAGCTTTATCACATACAATAATGAAAAGAATTTCTTTTATTAAATAAATAAAGCAAAAAGTTACAAACAAAACCAGCAAAACAAACCATAAATAAATAAAGAAGGAGGATTCTAGATCTGGGTACCTTCGTGCAATGAAACTTTCTTTTTTCTTTGTTTTTGTTTGCAGTAGATCTTCTAGATCTAGCATCTCTAGATCTGGTTTGCAATTGGGCGACGGTGACAGGGAGAAGAGGAGGGGACAACGGCAAGCAACCAACAACGTGGCTAGGTTGATGTGCGAGAGGTGATGGAACGGCGATGGAGTTGGGGTTGATCTGCGAGAGACGACGGCGACGGTAGAGGAGAGGAGAGAGATGGCGACGGAGAGGAGAAGAAAGAGATGGCGAGCAAGGGGCGATAGATGGTAGTGGTGGTGGTGGTGACGGCGATGGGGAGGAGAGAAAGAGAGAGAGAGAGAGAAGGCCCCAATGAGAGAGAGAGAGAAATAGCTGTGTAGAGAGAGAAAGAACAACCAAAAAATGAATTCAACATGTGCGAGTGAGATTTTTTTTTTTATTTTAGACATAATCTGCGGGCAGTTTGCAGATTTGGTAGGGTCAGATCTGATCTGAACCTAATTTTGTATGGAAAAATAGACCCGCATCTGCCCTATTTATGCATGCGGGTAGGGTCGGATTTGTGCAGGTAAGGTTGGTTTGGGTGAGTTGCCCACCCATAATGATAAGCATAAAAAAAGAAAGTTCAATGAAACTAGCTTCAACTCAGTATAGAAGAAAATACCATTCTAATTGAGATATAGCTTGGGTATATATTAGATACTGCTGGGGTACAACAAAAAGTAAAAAGAAAAAATATAGGTACGTGTTTCATGTACCTAGTATGTATGTATGTAGAAGAACCATGCAAAGTACTAGTAGCCGGTATTGGTGCAACATATTTGTTGAAATACCCATACTTCATAGTCATCCATCATTGCGGTTGTTTCCTTGTGTCATCATCACTAACTCTAAGCTCCACCCCACCCCATCCCATCCCATCTCTGTATAAAATAAGTGTGGAACCAAATCTATTTGGAAAAAGGAAAGGAAATCCATGTTTATGGGATTGGAACTAATCGGAATACAAAGGAAAAGATTCCCTTTATTTTTTTTTTTTATATATTTGGGTTTGATGAAAAATTGGAGACAAAAAAATGCAAACCATAATGTCCCTACCACATTGATAGTAAAAGATGTTAGAGTAGGAAACCTTAAAAAAAAAAAAAAAGAAGGTAATTTGGGCAAGTGTATTAGATTGGCCTTGTCTGGGAGTCCGATTTTGTTAACAAGGATATACATAATTTATATAGTTACTTAGTTAAAAAATAAGTCCCAAAATTATGAGAAATTAGTTTGATTTCAATTAATAAAGGATAGCTAGGGTAGTAATGTGAAGTGAAGTCCCACATTGCCTGATTACTTAAGTAGTAAGTATATGAGTGTAAAGGTCACCTTAATTGCTAGCTTTTGGGGTTGAGTTCTACCCAAAAAGTGTGACAATGCATTTATGAAAGCAAAGGGAAAATGTAAATTAAACAAATTGAAATTGGTAATACCTTCTTAGATCTTCTGGCAACCGCCGATGGCTCATCCACTGTTCAACATCACGGCGCCTGAGTGACATTTCTAACCGCCTGAAGAGAATAACAAGTATTGTAAATAGCAAATAATTTCCAATTCAAGAAGACAGTAATTCTACTGACAATAAACCAAAGGAACTTCTGTTACTACATTCAAAACATGAACTTACAGCAATATGATGAATTAATATTTTAATATCTATTCATACATCTGTGCAATCAGGCTGAAACTCAAAGATCAAAATCATGTTATTGATACCTTGCACTCTGAATCATAAAATGAATCCTAAAGTTTCTATTTCATTCACTATGAGAATGTAATTGGGAATGAGCAGCTAATAAATCCACTCAGAATTGGGATGACACTTCGGAATATAAAATTTAATTGATTGTTTTAAAACTAAATGCCTGGATAGAAAATAAAGAAATAACAAATTAAAAACTTGCTAATCAAATATTTATGGACTTCACTTGAAAAATTAGATAAAGCTTTAAAGGAAAACAGTGTCATAATTGCTGAATTCAATCAATATGTTTGTATACTACTTATTGTATATAGTTTGCCACATCTCTAGTTAAGCTTTTCCATTACACACACTTCTAGCATTTTCTAGACAAAAACAATAACCATATAAGACTATCCATACCCAATAAAATATTAATAACAGTTTAAGCCCCTAAATTTCATCCCTATCAAAAATAAGAAAATACAACAACTTAATTAGAAAAATTCTAATAAATTCTATTAACTCACTTGACAATTGTCATTTTACTTTAGTTGTGACAATTGTCATTTGAATCTTGCATAAACTATGTGTTTTGAAAGAAAGGCATTTTGTATCGAAGTTCATTACGACTATGACTTTCCAAACGAAGTGTTTAACATTTGTTAGAATGCGTTTATGTTATTTTCTACGTTGAGTAAAGGTATTGTGGCATATGATTAGATTGTATCTCATATAAATATTTCTGATGGTTTAGGTTTATATATATATGAGCCTAAAAACATACATTGAATAAAGCTGCTGCTTCTTCTTATTCTTCCTCTCTCTCTTTAACCCTAATCTAAGTTTTTCATACTTTTGCACTTCAACTTGGTATCAGTTAAAATTGTAAGGAGAAGAAATTTAGAGATAAAGAAGAATAAAGATGAGAGGCAGTAATACGAAGGGAAGAGGCACAAAACCTAAAATCAGTTTTGTCCTCTCTAACACAATATTATTTATACTAATAAGAACCTTAGTGACAATTACCAAACTACCCATCATGTAATAATTTAACACTCCCCCACAAGTTGGTGCATGGATATCTCTCATACCCAACTTGCACACAATAGGATGAAAAACCTTACTATCTAACCTTTTAGTAAATATATCAGCTAATTGATATGCTGATTTTACAAAGCGCATACAAATTACTCCACTGTTGATTTTCTCCTTAATAAAATGTCTGTCAATCTCAATGTGCTTAGTCTTATCATGCTGAACTGGATTATGGGCAATGTTAATAGCAGTCTTATTGTCACAGTACAATCTCATTGGCCCACTACTTAATAGTACCAAGTTAGTCAACAAAGTCTAAAGCCATATAAGCTCACAAATGTCGTTTGCCATGGCCCGATATTCAGCTTTTGCACTCGACTTGTCTACAACTGCCTGCTCTTACTTCGCCAAGTCACCAAATTCCCTCCGACAAAGGTACAATAACCTGAGGTAGATCTCCTATCATCAATTGCTCCAGCCCAATCAGCATCAGTGAAAGCCTCTAGCCTCAAATGTCCATGATTGGAGAACAAGATCCCTTTTCCAAGAGCTGACTTCAAATATCTTAGGATTTGATTCACTGCATCCAAATGACTTGTTCGAGGATCGTGCATGAATTGGCTTACAACATCCACGGCATACGCAATATTTGGTCTAGTATGAGAAAGGTATATTAATCTCCTCACAAGTCTCTGATATCTTCCCTTGTCTCCATGGTCTCCATCACTACTACGTCTGTGGTTGGCCTTAATAGGAGAATCAACAGGTCTACACCCCAAAATCCCTACTTCCTCAAGGACGTCAAAAATGTACTTTCTTTGAGAGATGAAGATACCCTTGTCTGATCCAACAATCTCAATCCTAAGAAAATACCGTAAAGCACCAAGATCGTTAATCTCAAATTCCTTGGAAAATAACATAAACACATTCTAACAACATTAAACAAAAAATCATTTCTTCTCGAAGTGCTTCTTGCATATCTTGATTTCTAGACCTTATCAATTTTTTTTTCATATATACGATTGTTTGACATTATTTTTTATAATTTGTATTGAATTTTAACTACTATTGATTTGATTCAATTCATGATTCACAAAAAAAAAAAAAATTATTGATTCACGATACGATTCTTGATTTGACAACTACAATTGAGAGAGATTTTGCAATATGTTAGAAGTTTGAGAGAGCGAGAAAGAAAAAGTGAAAGAATTTATAATTATAAATAAAAAAAATAAAAAAGTGAAGGAGAAGGAGAACTCTTCAACATCAACCTAGAAATATTGGATTTTTCTACGAGTTATGAAACCCTTGCCAATTTCATGCTTATGATGAATATTGAGAACCCTAAACTTGAATTCTTGTGTTTTGTATGAATTGTAGAAGGAAACCCCCATTGTTGGGGAATTTGAACCTTTGGAGGCCCTAGTGGAAGAGACCCATGTTAATGTATGCATTATTGGCTCTAGAACAAGTTGTTAGGCCTTTAGGAAGTTGAGATTCTGGATATGAAACTTGAATTCTAGAAAACTCAGTTTGAAACTGAAAATTTCAACTGAGGACATGAGACTGGATGTCCGATTCACATGACTGGTCAATCTAGCAGACGACCGGTAGAGGCAGCGGACATCCAACCAAACTCAATGTTGGAAATCCACTCTTAGGTCTCCCTAGACTGGACATCTAGTTTAGACATCACAGAGGACATGCCGTCATAATCAAGCCTGAAATATCTTGGAGTATCCCCGTATCGAACATCTGATATATCCAGTGAACATTCTGCCAAACGTTTGGTCATTGCAGCAGACGCCCACTTTGCCCTTGCTCCTGGTTTTCATTCAACCACTTCCATAACTTGGGATTTCGCCTTGGACCCCCAATGACCTTTAAGACCCTTAGGAAGGGAACCACACGTACTAAACAATTAAATGATTTTGAGTTTTTGACATTAATACCTCACTCCATACTTGGTGTGGGATTTGGCAAACTACATTTCAAACCTTCAGAACCCTTGGAACAAGGTGAGTGATTTGTATGGGAGCTTACTTTCTGTATAATATGCACTTGGAAATCATGAAAGGATGCTATGTTCCTTATGTATATCCTTAATTTCACGTGAAAGCCTTCCATTGGCGTATTGGACACAACTTTAAAGGGTAAAATTAGAAATGTAATTAAATTATTAATGATGTCAATATTTTTTGTTATTTTTTCTTATAATGCTAGGGGGATTTTGATAAAGGAGGCACACATAGATTGTAAATCATTCCCAATAGCCAGATACTCCCTACATTGTATAGTAAGACTTCTATCTCAACGTTAGGGAGCTGGATCTCAAATCCAAGGTAAGGCAAAGGGCGGTGTGTCTCCTAAGAGAGTTTGCTAACAGAACCTTGTTAGAATGTATTAGGAATGTTTCCTATGTTTCCTATTTTATTCTTATGTATATTTAGTATCTTTATTTATGCTTTAGAGAGCTCCTGTAATTTTGCTAATGATCTAATATAAAAGGGGATGAGATAGGACTCATACCTCTAACTTTTTCTCTTCTCAAAATAAACACGGCATCAGAGCCTCTCTGAAACCTTAGGAACCACAGCACCAGTCGGACAACCACAGCACCACCACACCCCAGTCTCACCACCACAGCACCAGTTGCAGCCATCTAGGGTTCCGACGTCACCAGTCGTCGTTAGCTAGACTGTCGACAGTCCTAGCCGCAGCCCCTAGGGCTTCGACAACACCCTAGGGCTCGTCGGGGCCTCCTTTTCCCAGCCCAGGTCTGTCAGCAGGATAGAAGGGCCAATCAAGAATGTCATTTCTTCCTTCGCAGGCTATCGATAGACTCGACGAAGCCTTGGTTCAGTCGGGCCTCCATCTCTCATGGGGCTGGGTTGTTGCTCTCTCTCTCGTGTGGGTCTGGGTTGATGTGAACTGGTTTAATCTTCTTTGCTTTTATTATGTAAATCGTTTCTTTTTTTTTTTTTTCCTGTCTTCTTGAAAAAAATAAAAAAAGGAAAAAAATGTACTCTTAAATTTTTTTTTTTGGTTCTGGTTATTGTGTTATCCCCTCTTCCGGGTTTGTGGTTAGACCAGTGTTTGTTTGTGAGGGTTCCTTAGTAGAGTATTCATGGTAGAATCGACTAGTGAGTCTTCTACTTCGCAGCCTGCTCCTCAAGGCACGAGTCCTGTTTTGCCTCCTATTATGACTGATTCTCTCCATTCTGGCCAGAAAATCAGCGCCTCTCTTTAATGGTCAAAATTATCTAGCGTGGTCACAGAGTTTGACTATTTTTTTGAAGAGCAAAGGGAAGATGAGATATGTTAATGGGCATGTTTAGCCCCCCAGTACCACATACCCGGGTTATGATCAGTGGGAGATTACCGATTCTCTTATCATGGGCTGGTTGATACATTCCATGGTTTCAGAGATTGGTGAGCGATACTTGTCTATGGACACAACACAAGATATTTGGGAGGCTGTGGCCACTACGTATTCTCACAAAGGTAATTTTTCACAGACTTTTGAGTTGCGATGCTCCATTGACCGGTCCGTCCAGGGTGAGATGACTATCCTCCAATATTTCACTTTCCTTAGTAATCGGTGGAAGCGACTTGATCATCTTTAGGACTACAAATTGGTCTATCCCACTGATTATGCTGGTTACCGAAAAATTGTTGAACAAGTGCAGGTCTTCAAGTTTTTGGAAGGTCTAAATATGGAGTTTGATCCTGTTCGAAGTTGTGTGCTTGGTATGGATGTGTTTCCTTCTCTCCAAGAAGCATTTGTTTATG